AAATTGTCCGCCCTGAGCCAGGCAGTCCAACTTTGCAACTGTACCCAACCTGCTCCATGAATTTCTCCAACACTTAAAAAATAGATACACATCCGATGGCACTAGGGACTGCCAGGCTGAATGGATCGATTCGAAAACGTTTGGGCTTGCAAACCGTAAGAAGCTTTACTAATTTTACCATGGAAAACAATGAGCACCCACGAGGTCGAAGCGTCGCCGAGGAGCGTGGTACACCATGCCGTGTTAACATCTCTGGCATTCGTTTCAGCTTTACACAGCCACAAATGGCATGGCCTTCAGCCGGTCTCTTCAGGGCCTTCAGTCGGTCTCTTCGGGGCCTCCAGCCGGTCTCTTCAGGACCTTCAGCTGGTCTCTTCAGGGCCTTCAGCGGTCTCTTCAGGGCCTTCAGTGGTCTCTTCAGGGCCTTTAACGGTCTCTTCAGGGCCTTCAGTGGTCTCTTCAGGGCCTTCAGCGGTCTCTTCAGGGCCTTCAGCGGCCTCTTCAGGGCCTTCAGCCGGTCTGCGCCGGTTCGGGATGCCGACTTTTCTGCGCGTCGGTCAGGCACTGCGCTGGCTGTCAGCTGCCAGTTATCTGCGCGTCGGTCAGGCACCGCGCTGGCTGTCAGCTGCCAGCAGTGATGACTGGTGACACCGGACGAACACCGCCCACATCTGTGCTTGGCCAGTCCTGGTGGCAACTCGCGCACCTGTTTACTTTGGCGCGCAACGTATGCTGCAGTTTATGTTACACATTGTTGATCTGCAATGCGGAGTCTTTTTCTGAGATCGGTGTGGTTTGGGATCGTACTCATGCAGGAACACAGGATGAAGCTCATCGCTGTAGTCAGCAAATTGGTTTGGTGACCTTAAGTGGAGCTTTGACCGCATTCGACAATGTGTAAACCCTTAATAGAACGGCTTTTTCCGACGAACATGAAACAACATTGCAAACACCAACGCCTTTTTGGCATAGTATTGTTCACACAAATTACAAACACGACGACGGCTCTGCACATAGGCATTTAACAAAATCAAACAGAAAAGCTTAAACCTTATACAGAAATGTCGGTCATTTTTCTCTGTTGACGAAATTGAAGTACGACTAGCTAATACATATTATGCAACGGAGGCGAAGTAAACCTGGTGTCTACTGACCAGAGAAGTCCAGTCATATCCCTGGACTAGAAGCCGACGTTGATTGCCGCGGGCGTTGTAGCCGCCAGAGCCGCACAGACCGGCGCTCATACCCCTGGACTAGAAGCCGACGTTGATCGCTGCGGGCGTTGTAGCCGCCAGAGCCGCACAGACCGGCACATGAGTCATGATGGACGACCTCTGCCCGATTTCCCACGGGCTGCATCCACGAGTTCCTTCCAGGTCCCCGCAGTGAAACGTCCGAGCTTACGCACACATCAAACGCATGGCTTAAACTTTTGCTAGAGCGGCCTTTGGCGCCCCTGTAAAAGACGAGCGACACTAACAGACACGTGTTTTCTCGAGAACTAGGCACAGTACAGCCAAGTAGAACACGGCAACGGGTACCCCCTGCCCATCAGAACTGCATATGGTCCGAGGCAACGAACATCGGGGGAGGTGACCTGTCAGGAGTAGAACTAGTGACTAGGTTACCTCCTTGTCCTCAGAGCCGCATACCACGACCGAGAAGAGACCGGCGTGGAGCAAGGTTTAGCGCCTCGAAGCACATACCGACAGTGACCTATCGGTGGGTGCGAACCGGGTGATGTCAAGTCAGGTCAGGCATGATGAGCACAGGCTGCATCCCGTAATGGGTAGAACTGAGCGTGGCGTGAAAATAACAGAAACTGAGCTGGACAGCACTTTTAAAGATTTATTCCGACCCTTTTGAATGGGAGCATTCATGGGATCAGACCTCACGTTAAGCAGCGTTTGTTGTATAAGCCCTGATCCCTACCATCCGATTGTGCACTCGTGCCGCAATGCACGGTCAGTCCCGTCCTCTGACGTCACCTGACCTTTGGCACGACTGCTGCCACCGGCCGCAAGCCATACCAGTCAAGGTCAAACAGCGCGCGCCTGAAGCGACTCGAACCCACCCTGTCACGGATGGGTGGATCGGAATGCAGTCGCTCCAAACAGCTGATCGATCGGGACAGAATATGCCGTTTTGACTTATCAAATGGAATGAAAGATCTTTTGAAATGACCAAACCATGTCGAACGAGTTCATCAAATTGAACATCAATAACCCCAATGTCATTCCGGTGAATATATTTTTTTTCTTTAAATTGGCTCACTTGACGTAGTCCGCTCTTGGACGACCAGACCTAGTTGCGGTTACAATATCGAAAAAGTGCTACCAGGCGCCGCAAATAAATACAAAATAATTTTATTAGGGCATATTCTACTAAAAACGTCTGCTATTCCGCGCTATCTTGTACATTATCTGAACGAGAAATGCCGTGGCCGTCACTCTCACAAAGACGTGATTAGTTGTGAAAAGGAAAAAGTGAATAGAAATACCATTACTGGTGAAAAGTGAAAGGCAGTGTATTCAAATCAACAGAATGCGTACCAATGTTACAACGTTACCTACAACAAAATCAGGATCATGTGTTGAGTGGTTCTGCAGTTATTCTCAGCAGCCTGCCGGAAGCTGATCAGGATACCCGTAGTGCGAGAATTACGTCACTGAGTCTGCAAGCGGATAGCGTAGCTCAACTCGAAGGCCGTTTGCCACGCGACCGTCTACTGGAGGGTGTGGGGTTTGAGCCTTGCTTCCGGCCGAGAACTGCGTCGTCCCTTTCAGCGATCGGCGCTGAGAATGCCGACGCCATAATTTCTTAGATGCTGAACGCATCGTTTAGCCCCGATAATAAATAGCATTAATTGGAAATGCATCTTTGATGCAAACTTACGTCTCGGAAAACGTCAACGCACCACTCGACGCGACTGCTTCCAAGGACACCGGCGCGAGCAGCAACCGCTCGCCCGTCACCCCAGCAGCCACTGCTGTCGACTGCCGACGTCGCGCGGCCCGGCTGGTGTCTCAGTCCCGGTCCCGTCTCCATCACCACCGCCTGGAACCACTGGTGTCTCGGTCCCGGTCCAGTCGCCAGCATCGCCGCCTGACACGCGCGCCATCGACACGGCGACAGAGCGACGCTGACGGTGGTCGTTTCCGTGCAGCGAGCCGCTAACTCTCCGGCGACCGCCCGAGCGCAGCGCGGCCCAGCCGGCGGCCAGCCGGCCTGCCCGCGAGCGACGGCACATGGCCTCCTGAAGCGCGGCCCAGCCGGTGGCCCAGCCGGCGGCCAGCCGGCCTGCCCGCGAGCGACGGCACATGGCCTCCTGAAGCGCGGCCCAGCCGGTGGCCCAGCCGGCGGCCAGCCGGCCTGCCCGCGAGCGACGGCACATGGCCTCCTGAAGCGCGGCCCAGCCGGTGGCCCAGCCGGCGGCCAGCCGGCCTGCCCGCGAGCGACGACACCATCGGCCCCAGTCCCATCACCGACCAAGTCCCACCATCGATCCAGCCCCACCATCGGCCCCAGTCCCATCACCGACCAAGTCCCACCATCGATCCAGCCCCACCATCGGCCCCAGTCCCATCACCGACCAAGTCCCACCATCAATCCAGCCCCACCATTGGCCCCAGTCCCACCATCGGTCCAGTCCCACTGACGGCCACAGTTCCACGGTGTGACTGGGGTGCTGGCAGCGGCCCCATTTCCAGCCCTGTCCCAGTCCCATCACTACACCTGCCCCACCGTCGGTCGCGGACCCAGCATCTGCAGCCTGCACCATGTCTGCTCAAAACTCCGCGCTTGATTGACCCCCGCGCACCGACGCCACCGGTGGCGGGTCAGGGAGAGGCATGCACGCGCAAACCGATGTCCCCATCAGCTGGCACCTGTGGTGCCTCACCCGCTCACGCCGCAGCGACCAACCGTGGAGGCAATGCGGCAGAGGTTGGCTATACCAGACTGTGCGTTTCGCTATACAATCACTCCGAGAAGAACCCCTTTGGCCCCGTCTGCTGGATCCGCGACATCGGTTGCAACCGGAAACCAATAATTGCGAATTGCTTTCACAGTTTCAGAACTGAGATTGCAGTCAATCGCAGGGAGCTGGCAGATACAGTTCGAGCCTGCTGTCAACGTCCTGGCTTAAGGGCTGTGATGAATATCGGCTATGAGATTGCACGGAGTCAGTAAGCTTCCTGCAAGCGATCTTCAGCTGGAGTCTGGTAGTTCAAGGATCTCTGGCCTCATTTCGTTCTCTATCAAAACCCAAACAACCGATCTATCTATCTTGCCACCAGGCTTCAACCTGAGGCCTTCAGCTCTCGTACAATTCCATTGACAAGTTAGTCCAAGACCTATAATCACTTCGCTGCAAACTTCATCAAGATTCACTCTTGAAGTTTACGGTATATCACGGAATGTAGGCCGCATTTCTGCGCGTAGCAGCAGCTTATCGGTGGCCGCGGCTGCTCACAAACGTATGTGCTATCCATCACGTAATTCATCGCCCAACGATTTTAGCGCACGGTGGTTAACGTAGCGGCAGGAGGCGTTCCTTGTTCTCTTGCTTGCTAGTTTGTCCTGTGCCGTGCTCTCTCCCAACGCCATCCTTCGGTCCGGCGGTGCCGAAGGCGCTGGAGGGGTGTACGGATCCGCCTGTGCCAGTGGTCTGTTGGTGCAGTACCAGGACATGCTTTCCTGCACTGAACCAATTCAGTTCAAGTAATACCAGTGCCGCCAAGCGCCAGCCAAACTATGCCAGCCCTTTGTCATTACCTATGCATTCGGGCCAGTGTGGGTACGCCGCCCACACCTGGCTTTCAAAGTAAACCAATTTCTGGTGTCGCTCAAAGAACGGGTGCGCCAAGGCTGTGCCGGAGTGAACAGCCACATTCCCACCTGCCTTTCCCTCCCCTCAAGATCTGCAATCGCCCACCACAACGTGCTCCCTGCACAGCCCTCCTGGGCGCGCTGCTGGCCGGGCGGGAGGTGCGACCGACCTGCACTGCGGGTGGTCGCGGGACTCCTCGACGTTCGGCCTGAAGCCGCGCCTGTACGTGCGGGACTGCGCCACCATCAGTGGCCGCTCCAGGTCGTCGATGGCCTGCTTCAGGTCGGCGATGGCCTGCTCCTGGTTGGCGATCTCCTGAATCACCTGCCGGTCCGGACGCCGGGCCTCAGACAGACGTGAAGGGGGGGGGGGGGCGGTACTGCGCCTCCAGGTCCTGCGGGTTTATATGGCCGCGCGACTGATTGAGCATGCTTCCGTACGCTAAACACGAGCCAAAACAACGCGCCGGCAGGAGGTGATAAACTGAGCAGCAGGATGCATTTACATGGGCGACTTGTATATCAGTAGGACCGACCCAGTGCACTTGCTGCACATACGAGTCGATATAGCGTCACTTTCACAGAACTGGGACGTCCGGCTGCGGGGAGAGAACCCCGCACTGTACGCGGCCGTCTAACGGGCGTCCCACCGCGGTCTCAGGTCGCTGCTGCCGCTACCCTAGTGATGACGTCACAGGGTCACCGGCAGCGTCACAGGGTCATAGGCAGCATCACGGGGTCACCGGCAGCGTCACAGGGTCACGGACAGCGTCACAGGGTCACCGGCAGCGTCACAGGGTCACGGACAGCGTCACAGGGTCACGGGCAGCGTCACAGGGTCACGGGCCGCGTCACAGGGTCACGGGCAGCGTCACAGGGTCACGGCAGCGTCACAGGGTCACGGGCCGCGTCACAGGGTCACGGGCCGCGTCACAGGGTCACGGCAGCGTCACAGGGTCACGGGCCGCGTCACAGGGTCACCGGCAGCGTCACAGGGTCACGGGCAGCGTCACAGGGTCACCGGCAGCGTCACATGGTCACCGGCAGCGTCACAGGGTCGCGGCAGCGTCACAAGGTCACCGGCAGCGTCACAGGGTCACAGGCAGCATCACGGGGTCACCGGCAGCGTCACAGGGTAACGGCAGCGTCACAGGGTCACGGCAGCGTCACAGGGTCACCGGCAGCGTCTCGGCGGGAGCGGCGCTCGTCGCGTACAAACCGCGCAGCTTGGCGGCGGCATTCGTCGTGACGACAAACATGGCCTGACCGGTGGAAGGGACTGCTCCACAAGGTGTTTTGAAGGAGGCACTGTACCAAATGGCATTTTAGAGGGAGGACTGCACCACACAGCGTTTTGGAGAGAGGGGGGGGGGCTGCTCCACATGGCGTTTTGGAGGGGGACTGTACCACATGGCGTTTTGGAGGGGGACTGTACCACATGGCGTTTTGGAGAGGGGGGGCTGCTCCGCATGACGTTTTGGAGGGGGACTGTACCACATGGCGTTTTGGAGAGGGGGGGCTGCTCCGCATGACGTTTTGGAGGGGGACTGTACCACATGGCGTTTTGGAGGGAGGACTTCCCCACTTGGTAATTTGGAGGGGACTGAGCCATATTGTGTTCTGAAGGTGAGGGAACTATTCCACATGGGGTCATCGACATCGTGAACCACTTTTTTGAACCGTGGGTCACGACGCCCATGGCCCACATACCCCATACTTGTTTGTCTCCGGCATATCTACCACTACTGGTCGAATGGTGTCCTTTTTACAATCGTGGCCTGGAAAGGTGGCTTTTGACCGCGTAAGCATTTTCTCTTGCATGTGTCCGCAACTATGTGTTTCCGTAAAGGGAAGATACTCCATTCTCGTTTTCCCCAATGGTTTGCCTTTGAAATAGACCACATATAGCGATATGATAATCTTCTGATTCGCACCACATCTTCCTATTCGCCAAAGGCTTTCTGACTTCGGCGAGATACATGTATCAAGCTGTGGACATACGGTGGGAGGTGAGCTAGCAACACTTCATGAGGTTTGCATTATGGCGATGGCATCTGTAGTTGCTATAACCATGGCGTTATATCCGAGGATAAAGCGCAAGGATGACAATATTTCATACGTTCAGAATTCCACAGGGCTGAAAACTGCCTTGAGGAGCTATGCTCTCGTTATGCTCGCTCATTCTGCCTACGCCCAAATACCTTTAAACAATCGATGCCAAATATTGCTTACGCCTTTCGGTTCTCCGTTTTCGAACAACACGGCCATTCTTGGAAAGGGAACGAAAGGGACAAAATGCGATTGCCGACTTGTTCGACCACAAATCGCTAAAAAACGAGATAAGAGCCTGGGCGGAAGATAGGCACAGATGATCAAGATGACACACATTATAGCCGTACTACCTTTTATACTCTGAGTGGCCCTCAATGTGTGAGCACGGACAACGGATCCATATCGCATGACAGGGCATCGCACGGCAACCTGGCATTACACAGCCATCGTCATCCAGAATGAAACATGACCACGACAATACTAATTTTCAAGCCGGCTCAGCGAGACCCGGCCTCCACAACTCATAGCTTTGCAGTGCTCATATGAATGGAGATGCGGGTCATGTGTCGCACGGTATTGCAAATTCTTGACAATAAGCCATGGTACTACAGTGCTCAATGGTGGGTGCCAGCAGCCTGACCTTTGAGAACGAACCACATGGACTCTCCCCCGGCCCTACTCATCAATTTCTCAAGAATTAACTTTATCGCCGTTCTATGAATCTGCAGAAACACTCCGTGCGCAGCAACGAGCCGACGCATTCAGCTCAGCCGGATGGAGCCTCTGTGTGATTTAAGCGCCTTGGTCACGCAATGTGCATATCCGTCCCCACTCATTGCGCTGAAAGCACCAGAAAAGCAGCAATAAAGGCAGTCCCATACGAAAAAGCAACTACACCTAGACATCTGGCGTTCGGCGCCACCAGCCGCGCGCGCCAATGTCTTGTGCGTAGCTCCACTGGTGCGCGGCGTATTCGTTGCTGTCACCAACAAACGTACGTATATTGCGTCTGTCGCCTGATGTGGTCACTGCGAACTGACCCAGCGCTCTTCGGATGCCGCCGACCCCGCAGCGAAGCAGGCGCGCCGCACCCAACTACTTGCTGCGCGGCCACCCACCTTCCCGCCTACCAACAGCTTGCTCCGGGACGTTGGCAACACCAAAGGTCACACGGCGTTGCCAACGCGCAAAATCAAGATCTGCTTAAAGCGGCGCCCACCCGACTAAGCCCTCAACCAATCAGAGCTGGCCAATGCCGACGCGGATGTCGCGTCAGCATTGGTCCGTTTCTGGGGCTCGGTGGTCAGCTGGAAACTGACAGCGATATTTCATTGAAAGAATCTGCTCAAGCTGTCGACGCTTGTCAAATACAGCCGTATAGATGACAGCGGAGTGGATGAGCGCCAGGTGGCATTGGCGTTAAGGCTATAGGATGGCAAGTGATTAATGGATTCCTGAGAGAGCAGCCGCCGCACAAGAGCCTTCGAACTGCAAATATATACATATATATATATATATATATATATATATATATATATATATATATATATATATATATATATATATGCGGGTTTATATTTTGAAATCAAAGTGGCTTAGCTGGATTCTGTTAAATGCTTTAGAAGTCCTGGACATTTGCCTCTCCACACAGTCCCGCTCGACCTCCACGTATTTCCGCCACCCGTTGACGAGTCCTTCAATTCGCCACTAACGCCTGTGTTGGGCAAGCGCTTCAGATCGGTGTCGTATGCTTTATTAACGCCCTCCTTGCTGGCGAACCGGCGGCACCTGATACTCTCATTGGCCTTTGAGAACGACAGTCGCATAGGACATAGGCACTTGCCAGGGGAGTTCGCCGGAAACAGTCGTATAGGCACCAGCCAGGGGAGTGTACTGGGAACAGTCGTATAGGCACCACCCATAGGAGTACACTGAAAACAGTCATATAGGCACCAACCAGGGAGTACACTGGGAACAGTCGTATAGGCACCAGTCAGGGGAGTACGCCGGGAACATTCGTATGGGCACCAGCCAGGGTAGTACACTGGGAGCAGTCGTATAGGCACCAGCCAGGGGAGTACGCCGTGAACAGTCGTATAGGTACCAGCTGGGGGAGTACCTCAGGAACAGTCGTATAGGTACCAGCTGGGGGAGTACGCCGGGAACAGTCGTATAGGCACCAGCCAGGGGGGTACCCCAGGAACAGTCGTATAGGCACCAGCCAGGGAAGTACCCCAGGAACAGTCGTATAAGCACCAGCCAGGGGAGTATACTGGGAACGGTCGTATAGGTACCAGCTGGGGGAGTACCCCAGGAACAGTCGTATAGGTACCAGCTAGGGGAGAACGCCGGGAACAGTCGTATAGGTACCAGCCAGGGAGTTCGCCGGGAGCATTCATATAGGTACTAGCCAGGAGAGTACGCCGGGAGCCGGAGGGCTTCGCACTGCCAGGGGGCCAGCATCTCATAGGTGCCCTGCCTCCGAAGCAGCGTCACGTTGTCCTGAGGCAGCCAGGTCCATGACTTTCATTGAGCCGTTCTCCGACACAGTGTCATTAATGTGGATGCGCAGCTCTCAATCCTGTCAGATCCTGACTGGTGGCCTGTGGACGCCCCGCGTCGTCCGTTCTGCCTAGATACCGTGCATACCGCGAACGGCAATTACTTCAAACTGAGTCTTCGAGAACCACTGCCATCCCGGCGTGTATGATCGATATGCGATGCGAGAGCCAGCAATATGCTGCAGCTTTGCCGATAGAGCAGATCTGATCTGGCCGACCTCTGAAAAGATTCTCGGTGGCCATTTCCCTTGTTCGAGAAACTCGCAGCAATTTTCATCGTCGTTTAGGCTGTTCGACGCACGCTGCTGAGGCCACGCTAATGACGTCGCCTGCCTCTCACCCTGCCAGGAAGGGCGGATACCGCGGGGAATCGAGCCCCGTACCTCTGGTTTCCCACACGCGCAGTGCTTAACGCAGACGCGTCAACTACTGCACTATCAGCAACCTCCATAGCTGCCTTCAATCAATCAACCAGCATTTTTTTAACGTCCATAAATTGGCTATCCTGGTTTTAAGGCAAGTTTTACAGACGAGCTCGCACGCATGCGCACACGTAAATGCACACCCACACACGCACGCACACGTACACACACGCACGCAGGCACGCGCGCACGCGGGTATTGACAATAAAACACTTAAGCACATGGTACACGGTCACACGTCAGTATGTTGGAGCAAGGTTGCCGGATGCACGCATCCAGGTGCGCCGATT